GGACTGAGAGAAGGGGCTCCCCTGAAGGCCTCAGGGAACAAGCAGGTTCATATGGGAGAATAAGGTCCTTCAGCTAGCCTGGGCCTAAAACCTATAGGGCTTTATAGGTAATAGCCAGCATTTTGAACTGTGCCTGGAATCAGGCTGGTAGCCACAGTGGAGCTGCTGTAACAAGGGCTCCCTGTAACCAGCCCTGGGGAATGGTTCTTTGGGCCAAATGAAGTTTCCGGGCACTTTTCGAAGCCAGCCCCACGTAGATCGTGCCACAGTAATCCAAATGGGATGTGATTAAGGGGTGTGGCCATGTGGCCAGACCAGACATCTCCAGGAAGAGGTAGAGCTGACACACTAGGGTTGGTCTACAAAGCCTGGGTGCCCCCAACCTGGTGGCCTTCGGACAATCGGCCATGCCTGCTGCTGGGGCTGAGTGGAAGTTGTGAGTCCTAAACATGAAAACCCTGCAGCTGGATCAGACCTGAGTCCAGCACGCCATCCTCACAGGGAGATGACAGCCAGATGTCTTCAGGAAACCTGCAAGCCAGACCTGAGCATAACAGCAACTCTTGTCCCTTGTGATTCCAAGCAAATTGAGTCCGGAGGCATATACTGACTCCAAGAGTATAGACAGCACACAGCCATCACAGGTAGCAGCCACCTATAGCTTTATTCTCTGGGCAGTGTTAGAAACTGGGGTGGAAAAGCTAGGAGCCAAAATGGCTTCTGGGACCTGGGTTGTGGGCGCCAAAACAGAATGTCTAGTCGCCACTGGGGGGGGGCAGCAACACATTTTGTTTATTATTTGGATAAGCATGAATTAATATGCAATTTACTTAAGTGACACATTGCTAATATCACATTTTTAGCAGAAATTGTTCATACGTGTTTAATTTGGTGCTGACAATAAAAATATTGGTACCATACTTCAGTTTTCAAAACACTCTACTCTTTGTTGTTTAATTCCTTAAAGTATTGTCTATCCTTAACATATACTTCGAGGCTTCAAAGCACATACAGTGAGGGGGGGGAAGTATTTGATCCCCAGGTAGCCTGACATCTGGCTAGTTGATAGGGGATCAAATACTTATTTCACTCATTATAATGCACATCAATCTCTGACTTTTGTCTTCTGGGTTTCTGGGGGTTTTCCTGTTGTTGTTCTGTCTCTCACAGCTACAATAAACCTACCATTAAAATGATGGACTGGTCATTTCTTCGTCAGGGGGCAAACGGGCAAATTTAGCAGGGGATCGAATACGTTTTCCCCTCACTGTACGTTTCAGTAATCCTGGAGTGTCAGCCAGGGGCAAAAAATGGCGCCCAGACTCTTGAGATGCTCGCAAATGCAGAATCTTTGGGGGCAAAATGCACCTGGTGCCCTGCTAATTTCGAACCCTGCACACAGCCATCACAGCTAGCAGCCACCAATAGCTTTATCATCTGGAGAAACATTCCCTCCGTCCCTTCAGTCTATACCCGCCCATGTTGCACTGGAAATATTATTTTCTTTTTTGTTGCTGTTGTTCTCCCCAAAAACACCAGCAAAACACCCCTGACCACACACCCACGCTGCACGTTGACGTCTTCAGCTGTTCCACCTCTTTCCCCAAGCCTAGACACATCCCCGGACAGAGCACGATAAAACTGGAAGAGCAGCGTTAATGAGACGTTGGCATCCATGTGCCAATGCACATGGCATTGAAAAAGAAAGAGAGCAAAATAAGGAAAAGCTCAGTTCGGTGCATTTTAAATAATAATAATAATGTTAATATTTATACCGCGCCCATCTGGCTGGGTTTCCCCAGCCACTCGGGGAGGCTTACAGAATATATAAAACATAACGAAGCATCAAACATTAAAAACTTCCCAATACAGGGCTGCCTTCAGATGTCTTCTAAAAGTTGTGTAGTTCTTCTTCTCATTGACATCTGAAGGGGAGGCACAGTATGATCTTATATGGGTTTACTCAGGTGTCAGCACCATGGAGTTCAGGGGAGTTCACTTGCAGAATCAATGCAGACAAGATTACAAGTTGCACCCCCTGTTATATTAGTCTTGCCCAGAACCAATATAACCCACTCCTTTTCCATGTCAACTCCCCCTAAACTATGCCTACTAAAATCTCCATACAGTGGTGCCCCACAAGACGAATGCCTCGCAAGACGAAAAACTCGCTAGACGAAAGGGTTTTCCGTTTTTGCGTTGCTTCGCTAGACGAATTTCCCTATGGGCTTGCTTCACAAGACGAAAACGTCTTGCGCTTTTTTTAAAAAGCCGCTTGAAGAGGCGCAGTTGCGACGGACCGTGCTTCGCAAGACGAAAAACATCGCAAGACAAAAAGACTCGCGGAATGAATTATTTTCGTCTTGCGAGGCACCACTGTATGTGTCAATCAGTAGTCCTCCACCTGTCTTGGACTACAACTCCCATCAGCCCCCAGCCAGGTGGCTGTGACTGATGGGATTTGCTGGTGTTGTTATTGTTGCTTTCGTTATTATTATTAAATATAATTATACCCTGCCTGTTCTCCTGGCGGGACTCAAGGTGGCTTGCAGAAAAAAACAAGAACTGCTAAAATCACAGAAAAATCAACCATTAAAAACAATTAAACATAGAGATGAAGCTATATACATACATGAAACATACAAATAATTACAATAAAAACAGCGCCAGCTGTTTCATTCAAAGCATTCAGTTCTCAAAAGCCTGTGGGAACAAGGAATTCTTCGCCTGCTGGTGGGAAGACAACAAGGAGGAAGCCATTCTAGCTTCTCTAGGGAGTTCCAAAGTCTGGGAGCAGCCACCAAGAAGACCCTGTCCTGCGTCCCAACCAAGCATGCCTGTGAGGGTGGCAGGACTGAGACAAGGCCCTCCCCTGATGATCTCAAAACCCAGGCAGGTTTGTATGAGGGAATACGGAGGCAGCGACTGGCCCAAGCTCACAGCCGGTGAGTTTCATAGCCAAGCAGGGATTTGAATCCTGGGTCTCCCAGGTCCTGGTGGGATAATCTAACCATTACCCACTACTACCCCATCATCCCAGAGACTCGGCCATACTGGCCCGAGGCTGGTGGGAGCTGGGAGGCCAGAACTATTTGGACAGCCACAGAAGTAAGACCCCAACACAACTGTCTTCCATGAGGTTTACCAACAGTTTAACTGTGCATCGGGACTGCAACCAATCTATGTTTAATTACTTGGAAGTAAGGCCCACTGAGCCTAGTGAGACTTACTTCTGCGCAAATGTGAACAGAATTGCTCCGCAAAGCAGGAACTCAAGGTGCACTTTCTCAGGAGTAATGGATAAAAGCCAGCTGAACATAAGCGGCCTTGCTTTTTGAGCAACAATTGCAGGCTTCATCAACCTGGGGTCAATCCAAAAGAAACTGGTGGTGTCAACCTCACCAGGCAGGTCTACTCAGGAGGAAAGCTGCCATCCTAAGACTCACTTATTAACCCTATAAGGCTGCCATCCTAAAACACACAGGGTTGCCCTCCAAGGTTACTGCTACTCAAAGCAGGCCCACCAAAATTAATGGACATGACTACCTTAATAATTTCAGGATGTCCATTTTGAGTAGAGTTTAGAGTAATATACAAGCCACATTTACTAGGGGGAAGCCCTGCCCCCTCAAAGCAAAAGGAGCTTATTTCTGAATTAATATGCTTAAGCTTCTGAGCAATTTGGCTGCAGTCCTATACCCACTTACCTGGGAGCAAGTCCCAGTGAGTGAGTAGAGATTTATAGGGCTGCACTGTCCACTCAGTTGGGAAGGAAGAAGGAATCTCCCCCTTGTCTATTTACTTCCACAGGCAGCGATTAAACTGCTAGAATATTTGCAAAGCTAATGCAGGATCTGGTATGTTTTCAAATTGGATGTGGGGGTCTCATGTTGAGATTCCTGTATTGCAGGAGTCCCTTCCAACTCTAAAATTCTATGAGTCTATGATTAAATGTATAAAAACTGCCCTCCAAGGCTTCCATCATAAAAATACACAAATACCAAGGCTTACTTCCAAAAAAATATGCTTAAGAGTTCAGTCTTTTCAGCTACACTTCTGTACTGCAATCCTAGCCCCATAAGCCTCTTACCTGGGAGTAAGACCTATACACCCCTTCTGCAATTCAACAGGACTCATTCCTGAGTTGATGTAGTTAGGGTCGCAGTTAGGACCCCGCTGAGCTTAAAGGGGTCTTAATCCTCAATCAACATGCCTTGAACCGTCCCTGCTGTCTCTTAGGCTGGAATCAAACTTAAGTTCCGCTCAAGAGTAGACCCTTTGAAAGCAACGCAGGCAGCTAACTCATCCCCATTACTCTTCAAGAGGTTTACTCAGAGTATGTTTAAAAGTTAAGAGCACAACGCAACTAAATTTTGGGACACGATTCACCACGCCGCCTCCGTCACCCCAAATACAGTACTGCCTGTTTACCCCTCCCAGCCCTATGTAAACACTTTGGAAGATAACACGTCTTTCTTTTGAACTCCAGTGAGCTTTTCTGTTCGATTACACTGGCGTCATTAAAATTCAGTTAATGATGATGATGATTATAAGATGTTCTTAAAGGACCGCCCTATAGGGCCGCCACGCTTACTAGGGGGAGGCTTCCTTCCTAGAGGGAATCCAGGATCTTCTTTGCAGTTCTGCACGTTTACAACCCCCACCCATCACTTAGGCATACTCAAGAGTAGACCCAGTTTCGAATGGGTTTACTCTGAGTAAGAGCTCAGGCGGGTACATCCCCCTCCTTTAAGTCACCCTTTTTTTGGTAGAGGGGTAATAAAGTTACTCTCCTCCCTTTTGCCCCCCCTTCCCTTAAGTTCCCCTCCCCCCACCTCCAGTCACCCCTCCCCCACCTGACCTGTCAGTTGCCTCCCCTCCCCCCACCCGACCCCACCCGTTCCCTTCGCCCTCCCTCTTCTCCCCTCCCAATTGGGGGGGGGCTAATGGCGGCCCCCTCCCCGCCTCCGCCTTCCTCGACCCCTCCCCGGGCGCCTTACCTCATCCCCATCTTCACCATCCTCCTCCTCCTCCAGCACTTCGGCGGTTTCAGGAGCAACACCGCCGCCATCTTGACTCCCTCCCTCCCTCCCCGCCGTCCCCTCCCCCTCCCTCCGGCCCCGCGGAGGCTCCGCCCACTCCTCCCCCGCCTCCCTCTCCCTCACCGCGAAGAGTCCTGGCAGCTCCGTAGAGCCGCCATCCAAACAACCATGCGAAATCGTTATAAGAACGGAGAGAATATACACCTCAGCTCAAGGGGTTTAGGGTGCATTGCCACCCTCTCTCTATTTCTCTTGACCCTCCAGAAGTGTATTTTGAAATGGGTGCTTGGGTGAGGGGAGCTCACTATGTCTCTTTCAGGACCTGCGCGGCAGCGAAGCAGCAAACGCTCCCTCTCCGGGAGAGCAAGACGGCAGCCCCCGGCCAATAGCGAAGAAGGGCCGAGGGGGGCGTGGCTCTGAGCAGCCGGCCAATGGGAGGACGCGATAAGAGAGAGGAAGGGAAGGGAGCGGGGTTCTGAGGGAGATGTGGGGGATATATAGAGGTAAAGGGTGTAGCGAGAGACGCATCAGATAAGACTTCCGGGAAACGATGGAGAGCCAGGAGGGAAACCACACAAAAATAAAAAAATGAAGTCGCCTGGTCGGATGTCACACAGGCGGGGCTTCTGCACCTTTAATAGTTGGCTGGAAAAAGGAATTAAGCAAGCAATTAAAGGTTCAGGAGCCCATTCCTCTCTTGCAGTCGGTCACCCAAGCAGGGGAAGCAATGAGACAGGATTTGGGGTGCAAAAGTACAGCCACCACCCAGCAGAATGAGGAACGCCTCCATGCAGCACTGCTTGCTTGTCACATTTTGAAGGAAAGCGGAGAAAAACAGATTTTCATCTAAAGAGGGTGCTGAAAATGCCATTTAAATCCAGAGTCCCAGATTCCATCTAATCAGCCCTGGGGTGTTTTGTTGAGGGGCATGGGGAATACTTTAAAATATATTCTTTCTACTTGAGAGAGGTTGATATGCTGGTTCCTAAAGACAGCAGCATTAGGAGTGCTCACCAGCTTACAGGTGTTTCTTTCCCCATAATTCACTGGGCAACTGCCATACCCATTTCCTGGACTGTACTTTGATTAGAACAGCCAGCACATAACCAGAAAGATTGTGTCTTCCCATCCCCCAACAAACTCTTTCTTAAGGTCAAATAAATATGCCATATTATCAAGGTTGCTGAGCTTGTTTTTCTTTGCTGTTCATTTTTTTCTTAAAGGACAACATCTCTGTACCTTTAAGAGTATAAAAGGTAAGAAATCAATGTGGTAGGGGGTATGGAATTATAGTGATGGTCAAAAGTTCACCTTTGTTTTCTTACCTGCTAATTAGCTGTCGGAAGCACATAATTTATGTCCATAAAAATGTGACAACCTTATAATTATTTGGCTGCTAGCCAAGAGAAGTTATAAATATATAATAGAACTTATATAATAGAAGTTTAGGGAAGTTTTTAATGTCTGATGCTGTATTGTTTTTAATGTTCGGCTGGAAGCCGCCCAGTGGCTGGGGAAACCCAGCCAGATGGGCGGGGTATAAATAATGAATTATTATTATTATTATTAAAAATATATAGGAAGACCAGCAATGAAATGCATAAAGATTGTAGGATTTTCCTTTGTTGATTTTTTTAAGCAGTTGGTGATAGCTTTATTTTTAACCATCTGTATAAGATTCAGGATAGAGTATTGAATGAGTCGGGGCTTGAAGATGTATAATGCATAACACTGAAATGAAGGGTTCTGCCAGACAACCTCTTTATTGAGAATTCATCCTGATCCATTTACAGGGGGACTGGGAGATGTTGGCTAGATTCCATTGCATCCAAGCCAAGCATTATTCCACATTTTCCAGTGCTTTTCTCTGTACAGTGGTACCTCGGGTTAAGTACTTAATTCGTTCTGGAGGTCCGTTCTAAACCTCAAACTGTTCTTAACCTGAAGCACCACTTTAGCTAATGGGGCCTCCTGCTGCCGCCACGCCGCTGGAGCACGATTTCTGTTCTCATCCTGAAGCAAAGTTCTTAACCTGAAGCACTATTTCTGGGTTAGCGGAGTCTGTAACCTGAAGCGTATGTAACCTGAGGTACCACTGAAACTTTCCTTAATGCAAAAAGTATGATGGATTATAAAATTATATATGGCATGGAGGGAGTGGATAAAGAAAAGTTCTTCTCCTCTGTCAAAGAACTAGAAGTAATGGGCATCCATTGAAGTTGCATGTTGGAAGAGTCAGGACATATAAAAAAGGACTTCTTCAAGCAGCACAGAGTTTAAACTATGGAAATCGGTCCCACAGAAGGCAGTACGACCACCAATTTCAATGGCTTTGAAAAAGAACTGGACAAACCCATGGCTATCAACCGGCCACAATGGCTCTGCTCTGCCTATGGCTCTTAATGCCAATTGCTGGAAACCGCAGGAGGGGAGAAGCTTCCCCTTGGGGCATCCGGTTGGCCACTGCGAGAGCAGGATGACTGACTAGTTCGTGCCCTTTGGCCTGATGCAGGAGGCTCATCCTCTTTTATTAGATCATAAGGTAAGTTTGGGGAAGCAGTTTGTTGAAGGGCAGTCAGGGGAGTTGATTGATTGTTGCAAACCTCTGCTATCCTTTCCGCGCTGTTTATGCATGGGTCCAGGTCACTCCACCCCACGAGAAGCTCCCGACTGATTCTGGCGTGAATCTCTTCGCCTTCTCTCTTCGGGAGAGCGCCCTTTTGCACAGAACAGACGGAACCATTCCGTCGCGGAACGAGTTTCTGGCCGGATACTTTATGCGTGGCGCTCCCCTTTTCTCCCGCTTCTCCCGTCATGGAGGCAACGGGGTTGTTCACCCTGCTGTTTCCTCTGCCTTTGCTATGGCTGCTTTCTTGCTGGTGGCTGAGGCGGCAACGCGGAGCGAGGTGGCGGCTGGGGAGCGACCGGAGGCTTTTCGCCAACGGACCGGCGACGCGCGCCCTGTTCGTGACGGCGCACCCTGATGACGAAGCAATGTTCTTCGCCCCCACCATCCTCAGCTTGGCTCAAGCCAGGCTGTGGCTGCTCTGCGGGTCCACAGGTGAGGAGGAGGAGGAGGCTAGAGTAGCGTTGCCTAGCAACCATGACGTCTGTTTTCGAAGCGCTCCCGTCTCTCCGGAGCTGTGCGTATGGCGTCATCACGCTGCGGCAGCCATTTTATATTGATCGGAAGTGTGCGCACAGGTCTGACGTCACAGGATTATTATGAATCATAATAATGTCATTGTCGCTGAATACAGTATATTATTTATTGTATAAATAAATACTATATTTATTTATTTATATTTATTGTATAAATAATGTATTGCAGTGTGTTTATTATTATTATTATGTCAATATTATGTATTTATTTTATATAGTGAGAATATATAAGTGAGAATTCTATTATTTTATACTTAATTTTTCACTGTTTTGTTATATAGTGCCAGCTAAGCGAGAATTACAGGATGTGGTGGAAGGCCCAGGTGATGGGCCCCCTCCCTCCTCAGTTTGCCATATTAGTAAAATGGGTATAACACCACTTTCCCCCCAAATTGAAACTACTACTATATATTTGCATACAACAACGTTTGACTAGCCAGCTTACATGAATTGGTAAGAGATTTATTTATTTATAAATATATGAGAGGGTAGATTTTTGAAGCATTACTTATCTTAAGGACAGGGAACCTTTTTCAGCCTCAGGACCACATTCTCTTCTGGGCAACCTTTCAGGGGCACCATGCTAGCGGAAGGTGGGACCAGATTGATTGATTGATTTGATTTATTACGGCCATTGGCCCATATCAAGGTGGGACCAGATGGAAGAGTGGGCATGGCAACAAATGTAAAATTTGGCATTTGTACAGTAGGCTAGTTTCTACACACTCCTGGCTATTCTCCACCCAGACAAGCAAGAGGTATTATTAGGGTTCAAGGACACATTCCAGCCAGGCAAAAGAAGTAAAAGCCAGCAAGGCCACTACATCCACACACACTGTTTCTTAACTGGGTACAACATAACTGCAAAAGGTCCCAAGCTCAACCAGTGGCATCTCGTTTTTCGTAGCAGGGGATGAGAAAGACCCGTTTCTGCTTGAGACTCTAGAGAGCCACTGCCAGTCAGAGTAGGCAGCACTGGGCTAGGTGAAGAAATCCAGTGACCTGGTATAAAATAGTTTCTTCTCCCTTCCAATCTAAAAATTGCAATTTAAAAATAACAGGGAGGAACAAGACCAATGTACCAGGGCCTTTTTAGTGGTGACATCCTCCTCCCTTTGGAATTATTTAGCAATTAGATTCCTCTATATGCTTTTGAGAGGCTGCTGCAGGCATACTTCTCCTCTAATACATATATACGTATATGTTCGTTTCTGTGCATATTCTGCTGCTTTTACCTTGAGATTTTATAAATTAACGCGGTCAGTCCCCACTTTTGGGCTTCCTGTATACATTTGGTTGACCACTGCGAGAACAGTTGGGCCTCTGGTCTATTCCAACAGCGCTCTCCTTATGTTAAGGTTTTAACAACATCCTCTAATTTGAACACTTTGGTGTGTGAGTCAGAAGAGGCACTTTATAAATGTTATAAATAGGTATGGAATTGGCAGGATTTGAGAAGTTCACTCAAGACCTGCAGTTAACCCTAGCATTATAGATATCTTTTTTAAAAAATAGACCTTAAAAGTTCCCTTGGAAGCTTTACAGATTCCAAGCACTTAACTCAACCCAGTTGACCAAATATGTTTCGCTTTCTCAGATTACTTTCTGGTTGCGGGGTCTCCAGTGCAAGCGCCCAGGGGTGCCAGCGTGCCCAACAGCACCTTTTATGGTACCTGCAAAAGGTCTCAGTAAATGTCCCCCTCAAAAATCCTCAGTGCTGTTTGCTTTTCCTGTTCGGTTCCTGTTTTCACTGGCTACGCCTCTCCCACATCAAACACACTCTTTTAAACATGCCCACATTTCAGTTCGTTGCCAGGATTGGACCTCAGCTGAAATATACTCAGAGTCAAGTGTGGATTTCATGCTCTTTATTCAGCTCATAGTCATGAGGAATGCAAGTTCTCCTGAAATGTCTGCTTTATATACATTATTTACACAATGGGCCCCACGTGATTGGTTAATTCCGGGATTCTCCTGTAGGCCAATCAGGTTGCGGATTAACTTCCACCAGGAGCTTGGATTGGGTGGCTCCTGCGGACCAATCAGACTGCTGCATTCTGGATCCTATTGTTCTAGGACGAATCAGACTGCTGCATTTTGGATCCCATTCAACTCAGTACATAACACCAGCCCTACGTTCTGTTCTGAACAGAGGCGAGATGCAAAGAGCTTCTGTCTCTGAGAGAGTATGGTGGTGACAGATTGAGGGGCATGCCTGCGCCATTTTGTGATCCTGTCTCGTTTTCGATACGGCAGCCATTTTGTGTTATACCATGCCCCTGCCCCTCCCACTGCGGCCATTTTGTGACTGGCGCCCACAGCACTCTCTCAGATTTCCAAATGTTACTCCTAGCCTTCCCCCAAAAAGCAACCTTTCAGCAGCCTATCGCCTTCATATCCTGGCAAACCCAGCAGCCTGTACTAAGGCGCTGTAGAATTCTTGGAACTTTTTACAATGCAGCAGACTTAACGTCACCAGTTTTGTTAAACTCAGGAAAATCTCTTTAATATTCCCTTCTTTGCTCCGTTATTTTAACGCAAGTTGCCGGTCCCTTGGTGCTTTCAATTTCCCACAGGAGGGAGGATTCTGTGTTGCAGAGTGTGACAGCTGTCTTCTTTCGTAATTCCAGGGAATTACTACAGCCAAGGGGATGTCCGGAAGAAGGAACTCCTGGACAGCTGTTTGGTTCTAGGGATCCCGCCTTCCAATGTGACCATCATTGACCACAGGTAGCTTTCTACACTTAAAATGCCGGTGCTCTTACATGAGAGGAGCCCTGCTGGATCAGGCCAGCGGCCCATCCAGTCCAATAGCCTGTTTTGACAGAGGCCACCAGGTGCCTATTAAGGGGAAGTCCACAAGCGGGACCTGGGTGCAACAGTGCTCTCCCCCATTTGAGACTTTCCTCTCCTGTGGTTTCCAGCAACATAAGGAGAGCTGTGCTGGATCAGGCCAATGGCCCATCTAGCCCAGCATCCTGCCCTCAGAGTGGCCTGCCCAGATCCCTGTGGCAAGCCTACAAGCAGTTCCTGAGCACAAGAGTGTCCTTCTTACCAGCAACTGGTGTTCAAAAACATCACTGCCTCTGACTGTGAAAACAGAGCATAGCCTTTGTGGCTAGTAGCCTTTGATCGCATTATCGCCCTCCGTTCATTTGTCTGAATCCCTTCTGGACAAATCTAAAAGCAGTGAGAGTTGCTGTTGCACGCAGATCCAACTTGTGGGCTTTCTGTTCTTTATCCGATCTACTCTTGTGTTTGTATCTACAGCAGTGAAATTTTTCATAGAGGAACTGTTAGGGCTGGAGTCACCAGCTTGCGAGGGTGATGGGGAAAGCGCCGACGTCGTGACATTGTGCACATGAGCCTCGCTCCTCACTTCCTAAGCCAGGCAGAAGCTTCCCAGGCTTTCGGAAGGAGACGGCAGGGAAACATTTATGGGACTAGCCTAGGCCCCCTAGTCCACTGACCACACGCCACTGATCTACCGCCACGCTCAGCCGTGGTGTACTCGGTTCTCCTCTTCCCGTTTTATCCTCCCAACAACCTTGCAAGGTCGGTTAAGCTGAAAGATAGCGACTGGGCCCCCAGTTGACTCTGTGGCTGAGTCGGGATTTGAACCCGAGTCTCTCAAAGTCATGCGTTTAAAGCCAATTTAAATCTTGTGACTTCCCGCCCCCCCAAATCCTGGGAACTGTAGTTTGTCCAGAGTCGTGGGAATTGTAGCTCCGTGAGGGGTACAGCTCCAAGGACTCTTTGGGAGAAGTCTTGCATGTTATATGCACACTAGGGAGTGATCTCAGGTCCCAATCTGATGTTGCAATCACAGCATCACCACCAAATGTGTCCATCCCAGTGCTGCAATTCCTGCCTGGTCGGGGAAAGTGAGAGGAAGACATAGTGACTCAGCCTTGCAGGGCTCTACAGAGGCTCCACAGCCCCAGTGACCCTGTGACTTCTCCCTCAAGTCAGGGAGGAGCGATCAAGACACAGATCTGAGAAAAACACGGACCAGTGAAGGTCTGCGCTGGGTGAAGCAGGAAAGTGACAGGTTATCACTGGGCAGGCCTGTGGGCGTGTAACTTCACCACCTAGCAAAACAATTGCAGAGCAATTTGTTCTGCTTCTGATATGGGGAAGATCAAACGCTTTCTATGGAGCAATGGATCCTTCGCTCCCGGTTACTGATAATTGCCTGATGTTCCAATTTGGAGACTCTTAATTCCCTACTGCATGCAAGAGAAGAGGGAAGTGCCTCTTTGCAGATCAGGGAGGGGGGGAATGTGGCCCTCCAGATGTTATCAGACTCCAGTGCCCATCAGCATGGCCAGTAGTTAGGGGCGATGATGCCAGTTGGAGGTCAACATCTGGAGGGCCGCAAGTTCCCCATCATCCTTGCTCGTTGCCGTTTCCTGTTCGAGCCCTGAGATCATCATACGGACACAATGACCACTTCTCCTTTTCATTTGCGGTTGTGTTTTTTCTTTTCTCCTTCTTGACGTTTTGTGGCAGTTCTCCCAGAGCCCCTTTGCTCCAGTTAATAGGTCCCTTTTCTCTCAGCATTGAGTAATCAAAGCACCCTGGGGATTTCCCTTTTGCTGTAAAAAACAAAACGGTGCAAAAATGCAGAACAGTTTCCCAAGAGGAGGGTCGGGGTAGAAGAGAGCAGGGACGGATCTACTATGAAATTAATGAAACTTAAGCGTCAGGGTTCTTAATCTTAGAAGAGACCTGGAAGCGACTTTAGTGCACATTGCTTAAAAATCTTGAGTCTAAGAGACCAAACTTGTGTCGCACATCTCAAATTGATTATTTTTTTGTTCTATATATATTTCAATAATCCCAGTGTTTGCGTGTTAGTAGCACAGATGTTGTAAAGGGGTGGTGATCTGTCAGGGAACAGCCTCATTGAAGACCCCAATTCCTCTAGGACTGCCTCTCCCCATATAAACCACCCTGGACTCTGCATTCATCCTCTGAGGCCCTTCTTTCTGTGCCTCCTCCGCAAGAGGTCCAGAGGGTGGCAACACAAGAACGGGGCCTTTTCTGTAGTGGCTCCCTGTTTGTGAAATGCTCTCCCCAGGGAGGTTTGCCTGCTGCTTTAATTGCCTATGTTTTAGGCGCCAGGCGGAAACCTTCTTCAACCAGGCCTTTGATTAATATCCAACAGTTTTTTAAATGTATCTGTAGGAAAGGGGTGGGTTATCATTTGGTTGCTTTGGTTTAATTATTTACTTGTGTTTTATCTTGTATTTTATTCTGTGAACCACCCTGAGATCTTTTGATGAAGGGCAGCATATAAATTTAATTTAATAGTATAAACAAACAAACAACAAATGTGGCTACCCAGACTTTGTTGCTGGTTGGGAAGGGGCTCCCATGACAGTTCATGCCTGAAAAATGAAGGGGCGCTACAGTGGGAGAGGGAGCAGACGATAGGAAAGAAGGCCCTGGCTTTGCAGTAGAGATTCCGGTTTCAGTTCTTGGCAGTAGGACTGGATATGCCCCTTGCCTGAAATTTTGGAGATCAGTGTAGATATAACGGTCTGACTTGGGGAAAAAACCATCTTCCTGTGTCTGTTCAAACCAGAGCTTAATTCAGAACCATGAGGACTAGAATCTTGCTTTGTTTTTAGGGGGAGGGTTGTACCTCCGAGGTGGAGCACCTGCTAGGTTCAACAACTAGTGTCTCTGGGTGGGGCTGGGAGAGAGCCCTGCCTGAAACCCTGGAGAGCTGCTGTCAGTACTGAGCTAGAATGGACCACTGGTCTAGATCTGTATCAAGTCGCCTGCCATGTCACCCCTCATAATCGCCAGTGATTGATATTCAGGGGAGATTAGTCCTGTTGGCTAAATGCACCCTCCATCCTTGGAGACAGTATACTCTGAATATCCAAATACCGGGTGCATCCAGCCTAGAGGGGGCTGTGGGCTGCCAGCTGAACATCTGGGAATCTGACGCTGGTTTCTCCCATCTCCTTGTGATTTTCCTGAAAACGTCTGGCTCAGGATGCCGGTCCAGGGATGGAGACTTCCCCTGATCCAGCAGGAGTCCTAACAAGCTTCTGTCTGTCTCCTTTTCACAGCAGAAATGTTGTTTGTATGAACCATACTTGTCCCCCCAAATCAGACCCTTCTGCCAGGGCTCTGGGGCGATGAGCATTCTGCCCTGTAAACAGGATACACCCACCCAACTGAAGTAGGTTATTAACTCAAAGGAAAGGACACCACGTTCTCTCTCTCCTTATTCCCCTGCACTCTACGAGATGTTTTGTTTCCCCACCCTATCTTTTCGGTGACTGAGAATGGCAGGCTGTCCTTCACAGCAACATCTGCAGTTTCCCTCCTTGCAGCGAGATGCAGATAAATATCAACATTGCGGCTTCCATCTGATGACGCCTGACCTGGCCTGGTCCCTGCCAGAGAAAATAATAAGAGTTCGAGAGAGGAGATTTGTGTAAACAGGCGAGCTTCCCGCTGCCTTCCCCAGCTGCTTCCAAAGTTCGGCACTTAGAGAAGAAGAACCAGCTTTTTAAGAATGATAATATGTTTTGTTTTTAGGGTAAATGGACAATAAGGGATTTAAATTTAAATTGCAATTGAAAGTACCAAAGAAACACATGAAACAAGGTTATAATTTGCTGATAAATTTATTATTAAGAATGCATTGTGCGGGAGATGTGGGGAAGCTTGATGGGAAGTTGGAATAAGCTGTTGAAGGGGTATGACTTTTCTTTTTTCTTTTACATTTTTCGTTTATTTTTTCTCTTATTGTTTTCTGTCTGTGTTTGAAAAATGCAATAAAAATTATTTAAAAAAAAAAAAAAGAGAAGAAGAACCAGCTTCACAGATATAATATGAGGGACACCTGGCTTGCCGGTAGTACATGGGGAAAGGATCTAGGGGTCTTAGTGGACCACAAGCTTAACACGAGTAAATAATGTGATGCAGCAGCAAAAAAAAAAAAAAAAAAAAAGCTAATGCTATTCTAGACTGTATTGTAAACAAAAATTGCCCTTTTCCCTTATGGGGTATCCATATAGAGTCCTTATGTAGGTTCCCTATTGGTAGGAGAAAATAACGGAGGCCAACCAGAGACTATTGAGAAGCAAAGCAGCTAGTTAGCTTGATCTTTATTGATCTGTTGCAACAGGGTGCTCCCCTCACATGCAGGAAAGGAGGAGGAACCCAGAAAAATGGCCGCAATAAACTCTTAAAATTGCCACCCTGTAGATCAAGACCAAAGGGACGCGGGTGGCGCTGTGGGTAAAAGCCTCAGCGCCTAGGGCTTGCCGATCGAAAGGTCGGCGGTTCGAATCCCCGCGGCGGGGTGCGCTCCCGTTGCTCGGTCCCAGCGCCTGCCAACCTAGCAGTTCGAAAGCACCCCCGGGTGCAAGTAGATAAATAGGGACTGCTTACTGGCGGGAAGGTAAACAGCGTTTCCGTGTGCTGCGCTGGCTCGCCAGATGCAGCTTGTCACGCTGGCCATGTGACCCGGAAGTGTCTCCGGACAGCGCTGGCCCCCGGCCTATAGAGTGAGATGGGCGCACAACCCCAGAGTCTGTCAAGACTGGCCCATAAGGGCAGGGGTACCTTTACCTTTACCTTTAGATCAAGACCACCCCCAGAAACATCATACATACATCACAGAAGGGATGTAACCTAAGACCACCCTCCAGATACATCACACCTACATCACAGAAAAGACGGTCTAAAACAGAAATTTGAAT